TTTCCTCTCCACCTATCCTCTCCTCTATCCCTCTTCTATCCGCCTCCCACTCTCTCCCTATTTATTTCAAAACCCCCTTCCCCTCCCCCTTTTCTGATGAAGGGTCTAGGCCCGAAACGTCAGCCTCTCTGCTCCCATGATGCTGCTTGGCCTGCTGTGTTCATCCAGCCCTGCACCTTGTTGTCTCGGATTCTCCAGCATCTGTAGTTCCTACTATCTCTTATCCTATGCTTAGTTGGCTGGACAGGTGGTTTGCAATTCAAAGTGATGCAGACAGCATGGATTTAATTTCTGCATTGGCTGAGCTTACCACGAATGACTCTCTTCTCAACCTTTCCCGTCATCTGAGGTATGGTGACCCTCCGGTTAAACCACCATCAGTCGTCTCTCTCTTGCTCATATGAGAGTGGCCCTGTGACCTGGTAGGACAATGCCAATTTTACCCCTTTTATCTCAACAAAATCGTCTAGGTGTGATTTTGCACAGACTGAGTGAGTGCCATTTTATGCTTTTTATTTTGCATAGGCTGGTAGCAGAGTTTAAAAGGCTGGGTTCATCAATTATCTATGCTAACTTCAACCGGCTATTGCTATGCACCAAGAAGCGCCGAATTGAAGATTCTGTGGGATACGTGCAATACATCACAAAGAGGTAATATCTGCATTTCTATTCGACCTTTCTGAATATCTCAAGAAGCACATTAGGGAAAAAAAAAATCAGCCAGTAAGTCTGTTAATCAGAATTGTACAAGTGTTTCTTTTCTAAAAAAAAAACTGTGCTTTTAAAATGAAGATATAATCTTTAATGTTGTAGAATTACAACAAACTTTATTTTAACTGCCAACTAATGAACCAGCACTCGAGATAAACCGGCAAATGTTATACATCTGAAATACGGGAAGTTTCCTGTATTATTGTGATCTCCATGATGTCCGAGTAGTCCAAGTGAAAAGGCTGTCTGCCAGTAAATTTTATTAAATGATTTATGCTGTAATAAAGTATAATAGTGATGTGTATACTGCCTGCATTGCATTTCTATTACTTAGTGTGTGTTTTTAGTTGAATATGTGGACCCCTTGGTCAACTGGTACATTCCTGGTTCCATAGATGCCGGTTAATAAAACATTTGCAGTACTACTGTGAATCCATCAAAAATGTTATGTTTTAAAATTAATTTGGTGCTCTGGGGCTTACTTTCCACTCAAGTGTTAATATTGTCCTGTTTTGTAACCCTTCTGTTTGATAGTGACTTGAATGTCCCTAACATTGATTCTGGATTGTTGTTGGTTCCGTTGGTACAGCATACAAACATATGAATTAGGAGCAGGAGTATGCGTTTGGCCCCTTGAGCCTGCTCTGCCTTAGTCAGGTCATAGCTGATTTGATTGCAACCTCAATTCCACATTCCTGCCTAGCGCTGATAACCTTACACCGCACTGCCTCCCCCCCAAAAAAACTGAATAAGAACCCAGCCACCTCAAAATATTCAAAAACTCAGCTTCCATCACCATTTGTTTTTTCTTGGAAGAGAGTTCTGAAGATACTAAACTCTCAAAACAATTACTCCTCTCCTGTCTTAATGAGCAACCCTTATTTTCTAGAAGTTACCTGTACTTCTAGATTTTCCCAGAAAACACCCTTTCCAAATCCATAATGTCAAGTTACCTCAAGGTCTTGTGTTTCAGTCAAGTTTCCTCTTGCTCTTCAGAACTCCAGTGAATACAAGCCTAGCCTGCCAAACCTTTCCTCATCAGATAAACCTGTCCATTCTAGGTATAGTGAGCTTTCTTTGAACTGCTTCCAGTGCATTTTTATCTTTCCTTAAATCAGGATACTAATACCTACATATTAGTCCAGATGTGGACTCTCAATGTACTGTATAAATGAAGCATACTTTTGTATTCAACTCGCCTTGCAATAAATAATAACATTCAATTAGCTTGATACTAACCTTTGTGATTCATGCTGTAGGACATTCGGGTCCCTCTGCATTTCGGACTTCTACAATCTTACCATTTAGATAATGTGCTTCCTTGTTGTTCCTGCCAAAATGGACAATCTCGCATTTTCCCACGTCACACTCTTTTCCAGATCTTTGCCCACCCTCATAACCAATCTGTATCCCTTTGTGAAGAGGACATAAGGAGGCTGCAATATACTTTTCCACCTATCTTTGGATCATTTCAGTAACACTACCTTTGATCCATTTTTCCAAGTCATTTCTACAAATTGTAAGTAGTTGAGATTAGACCATTGATCCTCTTGCCATGCTGTTCATTACATCTTGCAACCTGAAAAAGACTAATTTATGCCTACTGTTTCCTGTTAGCTAGCCAATCTTTTATCTATGCCGATATGGTACCCCTTAACTATGAGCTTTTATTTTCCTCAATAACTTTTGTGGTACATTTATCGAACGCTTTCTAGAAATCGAGTATGTAAGATAAAGCCATAGTCATCATAGTTCCAGAGGACCATAGGGTTTTCTCTCTCATTAGAGACTAATGATGGTTTAACCTGAGTGTCACTGCTCCCCACGTGAGGTGCAAAGTTAAGAATGTACCTTCGTGGTAACCTCAGCTGGTATGGATTGTGTGTGTCCATTATATGCACAACACCTTACTTCGTCAGAAACAATAACTTGGTTAAACTATTTCCATTTCACAAAATTCTGTTGATTCCACCTGATTATGTTGAATTATTCTAATTTCTTTAATAGGAGCTTCTAACATTGTCCCTATGACAGATGCTCGTCTAACTGGCGTGTGATTTGCTGATTTAGTTTCTCTTTTTGAGTAAAGGAATTACTTTTGCTATTTTCCAATCTAATAAAATGGGCAATGTGGAAATTTAGAACCAATGCGTCAAAAATCTCAGCCACTTTTTTATGACCTTAGAATAAAGCCCATCAGTACCTGGGGACTTGTCAGCCTACAGCTACTATAATTTGCTTGCTGCCACCTCATTGATGATTTTAATTTTCTTTAGCTCCTCCCTCATTCCTGCTTCCTAATGTGCAACTGTTTCTAGGATGCTACTTGTGTTTTATATCAATCTTTGCTATTGTATTCATCTGGTGTCTCACTATTTCCCTGGATTCACTTCCTGTAGGACCAACTTTCACTTTATCTCCCTCTTATTTAAATAGCCATAGAAACTCTTACTATTGGCTTTCATAGGCAGAATTCCCTCACTTTCAGTTAGGGTTTTCATGAAGTGAGATTTTTGACACTTCGCCCACTGTAATTTGGGGTGACTTTCCTTGAGCAAACCTCCGCTTTTCACCTCATTAATTATAAAACTGAGCTCTTCAGAACCGATCTTGTGGAATCATGCCATAATTGATATTAAGTGCTTGCCACTTCTTGGACCTTCTGGTTTTTATGCTACTGATGCCAAATTTATGATGCCAGCTGCACAGAGTTTCAGATGTTGTTAACCAGAAAGTAGCTGTCTCATTGTTTTACTGCACTGTTATGGTCCAGCAAAGAAGGTTCACCCCTCAGCAGGTACGGGGTAGTGGAGGGTCTGAGGTATCATTTTTCCATCAGGTCACCATAGAGGCCAGATCAGACCAAACCAGCCTGGGCACTGCCTGGGTCAGTGCTTGGCCCGGTTACAAGGAACACCCAGGGAAAATTTTCTGCATTGTGCATGAGTAATTTCCATCATTTTCTCCCTGCTACAACCGCCCACTCAAACTCTGCCATTGCCCATGCATTTCACCTACGCTTTTGAGTGACAACTCTCACTATTGCATTCTTGTCCATTCAACGGCTCATGCCCACCTCATGATTCTAAGCTATTTGCCCTTCCTGCACTCCGTGCTTGTATTTGCTCAGTCGAGACAACTTGACACCTGTATCGTCACTAACTGGTCTTCAGTTCACTTCCACCAGAGTCAATCCCTCCTTTTGTCAGTTTGCTGGAAAAGCTGGCCCATAACTGGGTTGAGAGGGGCAGTACCAACAAGCGAGGTGAACATGAGACTCTCACTCCTTACAAGCAGAAAGTTCTAGAATTGGCTGGGGAAGAATATGATTGCTCATGGGGACAGCTAAGCATCAATGGCTAGCCAACCCAGCAAGTCCCACTGTATAAGTTCAAAGGAGGGGAGTCTGTATCTGGGCAGGGCCCTCTCTCAGCAGGCCTGGCTCTTCTAGGCCTAATAAACTCCAAGGGTGACTGCCTGAGCCTTCCAGGCCACCTAGAGTGAGCTCTCTCCACCTAACTGCAGAAGTCAGAACTGCACTTAAGCGAAGTAGGAGGCAGAAAAAGAAAGATAACTTAGAGGGCACTTGGGTGGCACATCATTGTATGTAACCTTTCACTTTTGTAAATGTATCTTCACTTGCACTGTTAAAATGGCTGCAGTAGTATAATATTCACTGTCAGATCTGGTTAAGACACAGTCAGCTGAGAAATGAGCAGCCTCTTGGACTGCCAAGAACACTCCTCTCTCCAAAGATTCCAACTTCTTGACTGAATATAGCCTCAGCTGTTGGGTACTCTTGAATGATCAGAACTACAGCCATCGTGACCACTATATAAGATCCCTGAGCAATGATCTGTGGGAACGTCAGAAAACTAACACAAGTTTGTTGAATGGTGCAGTTCTGCCCTTACATCCACCATAAGGAAGGCTCATGCTATATCCTCAATGTGGCATGGGAATTTCTCAGGATGCAGTTGACACACAGAGTTCTCAGACTTGTTATCCAGTTGCACACTGCATCTCCAAAATTGTCATTGCTACATTGGGAGTAGAAGTCTACTAGTAAGCCACTGTTAGGCCCCCCACTTCCCCAAAGAAAAGACTCCCTTGCACATTACAGACTATGTCCTTGCATGTTTATATTTGTGAGAGTCTGGCAACTGTGGAGTATGTTTGAAAACTGGGAGTATTTGATTTGAAGCACTGTTGTTTTACGGACATGACAAGGACGGAATTAGTGTGCACAATTTCATGCTCCTGTTTACTTGAGGCCAGGATTTGGGTAAAGAATTTCCTGCCAGTGAAGTGCAAATTGAAGCCAGATGAGTGACTTAACTGAATCAGTGGATGCATGATTATTCAAAAGCTCCTAATCTGGCCTCCAATTCCAAGAATTTCACTGTGCTCTGAAGAAATGAGCAGTAACTTCCTGTACCCACTTGTCATGCAATATCGACCATTTTGTGCAGTTATTGCACAGTTGACCTTACGATCCAATATGGTAAAGTTACCATTGTGTTCTTGTGCGAGAGTTGCAGGCCTTGCTTGAGAAACAAGACTTGCATGGACTGCTCCCGATTGTTATTTCCCAAGTCTCCAGGATTGACTGTGGCTCACTTTCCTGACTGACAGGAGAGCCCCAATTGAACCACCCCCTCAGACTAACCTACCTGTGAGCCCTTGGACTGGTTGCATTTGACCTGCAGGGCTGATCATGACCCAATACCCATACTGCGAGGAAATGGATCTCTGGATTCTGGTAGAACCAAGTTCTTGACCTGGTATGGGTAAGCGTTTTGGGTGAATGTAGTCACACTTGACTTCAGCAAGAACTGTTCACCTTTGACTTTCACACGTGGTTATTTGAAGCAAATGCACTGTTTACTGCATAAACTGTGAGCACATGCTGCAAGTATGATGTTAACTTAGACTGCTGACATACTGCGAAATGTCCACCCCTTGACTTTTCCATACTCCCACAATAACAAGCTGCTTTCCAATACTTCTGCGCCAAAAAGCAATGCAAGCCTCCGGCTGCAGCTTGTAGCTGAGCATTGAAGATCCTGTGCACTAAAAGGCAGTGTGACCCACACAAAAGCTGGCGGCCTGTAATCTAATGCTGAAGTCAGTGAGTATGCGCAAGAAGAAACAATGGGAAGTAGACAGGCTTGCAGCTTCCAAGTAAGCACAAAGTGAGTAAGTGCTAAGTCAGTAGGCTAAGAGATATGAGAGGCAAAAATAATTGGTGTTATGAGTGGAGAGAAAACTGGGAAAAGCAGTTCAATGGTCTCTATCCATAGGGTTCTCTGAGATGAACCTTTTGGCTTGTCAGGACTTGCTGCTTCTTGATGTCTCTTCAGGTACTTTCAGTTGCTTGCAGGACACAGTGATTGATTCACATTATATAAAGGCTGATTTATTGGTTAAAAGCAACAATTTACAGTAACTGGTGAGGGGAAATTAAACTAACTTCTTGACGCCTTCGTTTTTTTTTAACTGCAAAGAAAAGAACACCACCTCCCCTTCCCAAAGTCTCAAAACATCTGACTATTGTTCACACCCAGTTAGATTTTACAGTGACCAAGACTTCCTTCCTTGCTAATTGCTAGCTGTTAGTATTTTTACATTTGAGGCAGGTGTTTTTAAATCTGGAGTCATAGAGATGTACAGCATGGAAACAGAACCTTCGGTCCAACTCACTATCCCACTGGTATTGAATCTAGAATGCCTAGAAGCAAAGGAATGCTCTAAGTCTGAAGTTCTTGACTTATTTCTGATGACCTGTTAACTTAAGACCTGCTTGCTCAGGTGAAAGAAAAAGTTAACAATTTTCAATATTCATTCCTTAACCACCACACTTTAAGTTAAAGTAAGTTTATTTAATATTTCTTTTTGTTTTTGCTTATTGTGGACCCATACTATCACCAATTTGCCTCATTTACTTTATAAACTAAATTAGTTGTAAAAAGCTTTGGAATATTCTAGATAAATGAGAAAGTGTGTTCTCTGTCTTGTGCAGACCCCAACAAATAATTACACAATCTTTGCTTATATGAATGGGACATTCTGACATTATCTATGTAAGTGAAGACAACTAGAGATAAACGGTAATATTGTATGAACCCACAAAAACAGTTGGCTTCATATAATCTGTTCAGGTTTTCCACTCAGAGACATAGCAATTTTACACTAGTATGTGTCTGATTTGACTGTTAGCACTGGACATATTATTGTTAGACTGCATATTCATATGATTTGGTAGAGCGAAGCAGCTCCGAAACCCAGCTTTAAACTAATAGATTATGTAAGAGATGTGGGAAATTTTACAATCATTCGGGTTTAAATGTCTAGCATTTTGAGATTGGAGTCCTATTGAGCGATGCTGGGATCATTGTACAATACATTAAATGTGCTTTTTGAGTAATTCATCCTTTTTTTTAAACAAACATGCAGCATTCATTCCCGTGAGATTTTCCACTCCCTCTCCATCTCGTTTTCTCGGTGCTGGGAATTTCTGCTTTGGATGGACCCAGCTAATTACGCTGGCATTAAGGGTAAACTTCCCTCCAGTATCCTCAGTGGAGAGGTATGGGACTCTTCCTTTGCTCTGAAGTTGTTGAATAGTATTTGTAGGTCATAACCACACTTGCCAAAATTTTAAGGTAAAAGTTAATTTTAAAGTAGTAGTAAAACACTAGCTATAATAGTGAAATATGCGTGTTGAGTAAGTGTGTGGTTTTAGTGACTCTGCTTTTCAAAGATCTGCGCATGTTGTCAAGGATTATTTAGAATTTTGCCATTAATGGACTACCTAATAAGGCACACTTAATCAAAGGCACTTTAGGATTGAGTGCTACCTTTTTACTGATTTTTCTCAAATTTTTTTTTCATATTGTTAGAGCATATAATCATATGCTTCATTATAGGTGTGCCAGGTTGTTTATCAAAAAAGTGATACAAAATCTACAATCTCGCTGCTTGCAGGGTTTGGGATTTGAAAATTTTATGTGCTCACCATTGTTGTAGGAACATGCATCTTGATCCTGAATCCCAACTGAATGGTCAATCTTTTGAGACTTGACTCACATTCAGATAAGGGATGATGAGCTATAAAATCTCATGTTGAAATATCCACAGTTGATTCAGGGAATCCATAAAATACTGAACGTTTCAGTATATGCTATTATACATAACTTTTGTCAATTGGTCCCATATTCACCAACTTGAAAATGGACAGAATACATTCTTCCAGTTATTTGAATAAAGTGCAGCATTGATTGAAAACCATTTAGTGGTTTACTTACCAACATCATGAAATGAATAGATGCAAAGTTGTACCTCTCAACATTACAAATGTATAGTTTGGGGAATAAAGGAAAGGTAAGATGGTGATCAGAGTGAACATCGCAAATGGCATTGTAACTTTATATAGGAAATGCAACAGCCCTCTAGAAGCTGGATTCAATTAGTATAATTTGCTAATAGACTTGCCTCAGTTTGAAAAAAACTGGTCTTGAAGATTATGCTGTATGTTGTCCCTCAAAGATACACAAGCAAACAACTGATATTAATTTTATATATCAATTTATAATTTATTTTAAACTTCAATTTTTTTTTGTGATTGCATAACAAATTGAAATTAATGGTTTTGTTCTTCTTAGGGTGCATGTTGCATCAAAACTCTGCTGGGTCAGTCCAGTAATTGTTCCTGCAGAAATGTGGATGGGTGCTTGTTCACATATTGTAAAAACAAATTTGTGAGAATATAAAACAGTGCGGACTGGAGCTAGCTGCCAGCGTGTTCTGGGTTGGAAGACCTTTGTTCTGAACTTTTATTTCTGCAATGCTGGACATTTTATTTCTGTATTTGCTAAGATCTTGTAACTAGAGTTGCTGTACATAGGTACCTTTGAACCTAAGATGACGCTGTAAATGGCAGTGTTTAAGCTTTTCACTGTACTCCTTGAGTATATGTAATAATAAAGCTAATTTATTCATTAATTCATTTAAATGAGAGGAAGATTCACTTCGCTAAAGGGAGAATCTCCAAGGGAAAAAACCCACAATAATGGATGGTTCTAGGTTTAAAGTTTACCAGGTTAGGAAAGAAAAAGAGTGACAGTAAACCCTTGGAAGCCAGGAATCATTTTGATTTTCATTTGTGTTAAAAGGGGTAGACTGTTCTATAGATTGAAGTGTAAGCAATTGGCAGATCGAATACAATATATGAAAACTTGTTATGCAGTTTGGCAGGAAGAATTCAGTATTACTTAAATGCAAAGGAACTGCAGAAAGCTGCAACACAGGGATTTGGAATCCTTGTGTGTAAATCACAAAAAGCTAGCACACAATTTCACTGTTAATGAGGAAAAGTAAAAATTATTTCCATTTCAAAGGGAGTGGAGTATCAAAATAGAGATGGGCTGTTAAAACCATACTAGGCAATGTTCAGACCACACCTAGAATACTGTGAACAGTTTTGGTTCCCTTATCTAAGGAAAGATCAACTGACATTGAAGACAGTTCAGAGAAGGTTCAACAAATTGATTCTGGGGACGGAGGAGTTCTTTTAATGAGAGGAGCTTTAGTAGATTGAACCAATATTCATTGGAGTTTAGAAGAATAAGGGAAGAAATTATAGAAACATTCTTGAAACATATTGAAAGATTCTTAGAGGGCTTGACAGTATAGATGCAGAGAGGTTGTTTCTGGGAAAGGCTAGAACCATAAAACATAACCATTTGAAACAATCGAGGACTACAGTGAAAAGGCAGGAAAGTAGATGGAGGATTATCAGATTAGCCATGATCTCATGGAATGGCAGAGCTGAATATCTTACATCTGCTCCTACATCTTCTGGTTAATGGTCTTATAAGTATTAAAGTTTGAGTTGATTTCTTTTGCTGTTTATATTTGTAATTCATGCTTTTCACTGCCTAACACTTTAGAAGCAAACTGACAACTGAAATCACAACCATGGCTAAAAGTAAAGAACTCAAGCCATCTAATAACATAAAGGTGGATAAATCTCCAGGACCTGATAAAATGTATCCCAGGACACTGTGTGAAGGTGGGGAAGAAATTGCGGAGCCCCTAGCAGAAATATTTGTATCATCTATTACCACGGGTGAGATGCTGGAGTATTGGAGGGTGACTAATGTTGTGCTTTTATTTAAGAAAGGCTGTAGGGAGAAGCTCTGAACTAAAGACCTGTGAGCCTGATATTGTTGGTGGGTAGGTTGTTGGAGGTGATTCCAAAAGGTAGGATTTACATGCATTTGGAGAGGCAAGGACTGATTAGGGATAGTCAATATGGTTGTATGCGAGCAAAATCATGTCTCACAATTTAAGTTTTTTGAGGAAGTGACGAAAAAAATTGACGGAGGCATTGTTTACTTGGACTTTAGTAAAGCCTTTGACAAGGTTCCACATGGTAGACTAATTAGTAAAGTTAGATCACATGGGCTTCAGGGTAAGTTTGCCAATTGGATACAAAATTGGTTTGACCATAGGAGGTGATGAAGGTGGTCTTTCAGACTGGAGGCTGGTGACCAGCGGTGTTCCACAGGGATCAGTACTGGGTCCACTTTTTTGTCATTTATATAAATGATTTGGACGAGAATATAGGAGGCATAATTAGTAAGTTTGCGGATGACACCAAAATTGGTATAGTGAACAGTGAAGAAGGTTATCTAAGATTACAAAGAGATCTTGATCAATTTGGGTGAATGGGATGAAGAGTGGCAGATGGAATTTAATTTGGATAAATGTGAGGTATTGAGTTTTGGTTAAAAACAAACAAAGGCAGGATTTATACAATTAATGGTAGGACCCTGAAAGAGCTGTAGAACAGAGATCTAGTGGTTCAGATACACAATTCTTTGAAATTTACATCACAGGCAGACAAGGTGGTTAATGTGGCATTTTGCATGCTTGTGTTCATTTCTAAGTATCGAGTATAGGCATTGGAATGTCATGTTGAGGTTGTACAGGACGTTGGTGTGACCAGTTTTGGAGTACTGTGTGCAGTCTGGTCACCCTGCTATAGGGAGGATCTTATTAAATTGGAGAGGGTTCAGAAACGATTTACCTGGGTGTTGCCAGGAATCTGAGTTTGGGGTTTGAGTTATAAGGAGAGGCTGGGTAGACTGGGACTTTTTTCACTTGAGCTTAGGAGGTTGAGGAGTGACCTTACAGAAGTTTATAAAATCATGAGGAGTGTAGATAAGGCGAATGACGAGTGTCTTTTCTCTGTTGGCGGAATTCAAAACTAGGGTGCATATTTTTAAGGTGAGGGGAGAAAGTGTGTAAAAAAAGGTTTCCCCTCATTCCTTTTAAAAAGTGGTTAGTGTGTGGAATGAACTGCCAGAGAAACTGCTGTATGCATGTAATGTTACAATATTTAAGACATTTGGATAAGTACATGAATAGGAAAGGTTTGGAGGGATATGGGCCAAATGCAGGCAAGTGGGACTAGCTTAGTTGGCAATCATGGTCATAATGGGCTACTTGGACTGAAGGGCCTGTTTCCATGCAGTATGATCTATAGGAGAGCTATTACATTACTGCCAATGGAAAGTCACTCAGCTAGAATATTGGGAATGTATGTAATGATATTCCACAGCAACCACAGCATGAAGTGAAGAGGATTGAATATAAACTGGCAAAAAGTGGATATGAGATAAGATTGCAATAAATTTAAGGAAAACCACCCCCCGCTCTCAAAATTTCTTCTGGATGTAAACTTTAAGCAGATAGTATGAGGTGGAGTGGAGCCAAAGAGGCAGGTGCAGGGAAATGCTGAAATACTCAATGCGTACTTTGCATCAATGATTTCTAAGGTGATGCTGCCAAAATATCAGTTGAAAACAGAGATAGTAGGAACTGCAGATGCTGGAGAATCTGAGATAACAAGGTGTAGAGCTGGATAAACACAGCAGGCCAAGCAGCATCATAGGAGCAGGAAGGCTGACGTTTCGGGCCTAGACCCTTCATCAGAAAACAGACCTGGTAGAGTTAATGGATTGGGTGAAAATTGGTGGGCATAAGGTACTTGCAAGGAAGATTGTGCTTAGACTGAATAAGTCACCTCGTCTGGCTGACACATTTCTAGATTGTTAAAGTAAGAGCTGGTGCCAGAAGTCTTCCAATTTGGATATGGGGAAAGTGGTTATGTATGGATTCACAGAAGACTGGAGAGATACTAAATGAATACTTCATGTTGGTATTTACTGTGGAGAAAGATGTGGAAGCTATGAAACCCATGAAAATAAATACTGATGTCTTGAAAACAGTCTATATTCCAGAAGTGGAGGTGCTGGAGGCCTTAACAAGAATAAAGGGAGGTAAATCTCTGGGCCCTGAACAAATGAATCCCAGGATATTGTGAGAAGCTAGAGAAGACATTGTGGGGATAATTGTATCATTTACAGCCATGGGTGAGGTGCCAGAAGTCTCTCCCTCCCTCTCGCTCTCCCTCCCTCTCGCACTCGCACTCTGCCACACTTTAGTCTATGGGATAAATTTGTATTTTTCAGATGCATTCTATTTTGTTCAAAAAGCTCACAATTTATAGACAGTCAGTCA